GTGTGTGTGTTTTGTTTTCACAGGAGGTGAACAACCTGCGACAGCTGCTTTATGACTTCCCCTGGTCAAATGTGGGACGTCTCACTTTCCTGGTATGCACACCGCTCATTTACATTCTCTGTTAAGATTACGTGGAATTGTTGTAATTATTTAAAGGACATTAGCTATGTACCCTATGTATAATTTGTTATCCTATTCAGGGTAAGAAATTCGAGATCCAGCCAGATGGCTTGCCATCCGCCAGAAAGCTGGTTTACTACACTGGGTCATCATTCCGCTCTCGCCACCTCCTCCTGCACTTGAGCAGCAGCCATCGCATCTACCTCAGCCTCCAGCCTGCCCTCAAACACCTACGCCAGCTGGAGGAGAGCGAAGGTAGGGGAGGGAGAAGTGAATACAAACACTCCACTAGAAGTTTAAGACATAGGGTTTATTTTTCCAAGACAAAAATTCAAAAGGGTTCCTGTTTAATAAACACATTTTTAGTAATTTTTTTAAATATTTGATATCTCTATTGGACAAATATAATTAAATGTGTCATATAAAGATACAAATATAATTCTTGCTCCTCAATTTGTGTTTTGATGTGTTTTAAAGGTCTAAATATAGTAGTCTTAATTTAAAATGAATAAACTGTGAGAATCAAGAGTTTTTCATTTATCAGTAACCATAAAAGTGCTGACAGCAGCTCTATAAAATTCATTTTCACATCATTTTCTGGCAGTTTCCAGTTTACCCAATGACAGCTAGTATCCTCGGTATATCTTCTGTCTGTCACCCAAACACCAAACACAGCTTTCTTTACATGGTAAACGCTCTTTTCTTTATTTTAGAGAAAAAACGTTACAGAGAGTCATACATCAGTGATGACCTGGACTTGGACCCGCCAGGCAGTGAGAGCAGCCCCGGCCTGTCCCGACACTCCACCAGCAGCTCTGGAATCGAAGCTGACGCCCGCCAGCACAGCATCTCCACAGAGATGGCCTCCATGGAGGAAGAAGGTCAACGGCGAGCAGAGAAGTGTTTCAGCTCAGCGGCCAGCCATGGCAGCTCCTGCACCTCTGGGTTTGACACAGGCAGTAAGGCTCGAATAGAAGATGAGGGGTGGCAAGAGGAAGGTGAGAGGATTTTTATTCTGAATCTTTTGGACATTTGTTCCATCCCCCCTGCATATTTTCTTGAGTAAACAGTGCTTCCACAAGGCTATGCAAAAACATGTTGCTCAATAAAGATTATGTGGTGTTGTTATTATATTGGTGTTCTTGCAGTAGCCAGGACCTCAAGCTCTCGTAGTACATGCAAAGTCAGTTTCTTATTTGTGTTTTGTTTTTTTCTTCAGAGATCAAGACCAGTGTTGGAAGCCCAAAGGAGGTTCTCGTGGATGATCCTGATGAGATGTTCCAGTTAGCTGATCTTCTTGAAGGGGTGTCAGTGGATTGTGGAGAACTCTCCTTACAGACTCACTCACCAGGTATGAATAATTTAATTACGACGTACGGGATATTGTGTAAATAATATATTATTTGTTCTCATCCCAACAGTTAAAACAAATTAGTTTTTGTATTTTCATACTTACTTTGTTTGCTCTCTTCTTCGTTAAAAGTGGGCTCTACAGAAAACAAAGTGTGCCTCCCAGCCAGTGATGAAGATCTTGGGAAATTGCGTAACAAGGATATGTTAAAACAGGTTGGTCATCTGTCTTTTTTTCCCAGGCGTTTTTTTTTGGGGGGGCTTTTATTG